GTACATATCCCTTTCCGCACCTCAATGCCGTGCGCGCCACCGTATCATCTTCTATGAATGGTACACTAGCCAGAATGACCTATGTCATCATGTAAATGGGGGATTCGTTTTGTTATCTACTGAAATAGCCGGATGACTTTACCGAGATGATTGAATGTTGAAGCGACTAGTTGTTGGAAACATCATTTGCCAACGAGTCCTTCAATTTTTATTATTATCAACACCAGAGGTTTTTTTTCCTCGGTACACTGAGAGAAAAACGACAAGGTTCTCAAACAAGTCTTACTTGTGCCAAAAACATAGTTTTTTGAAAATTATCAAAAAAGATTTTTTTTTGTGCCAAACATGCAGAGTACGCCGGAAGGAAACATTTTTGTCGCAGAAATAGATTTAGTAGTTCAAAAAAAATTGTATTCTCTGTACACGCAAGAAATGTCATTTCTAGCACTACTACTTCGGTATTCGATACTCCCATACGTATTTTGCTCCCGAAAAATCTTTGTTTTATGCTAAACAAGGGATTGTAGTTTTTCGTTTCGGCTGTGTAATAATCACAGACAAAAAATGACCCCTTAAATGAAACAATTAGAGATGAAATGTTTGTTGATAAATTTCCCTCTGTATGAGATATTTTCACCCCGAAAAGGCACCGTCTGGTGCGAATTTTCCGCCTCTTGAGCCAAATATTTCGTTGCTGTCAAAAGCAGAGCAATTATTCATGTTTGAGCCTTTCAAATTCGAGCCAAACAAATTCTTTTTTGGCAATTTTCAACTAGCGATTTTGTTGGCCCAAACAAGACTTGTTTGACAACGTGTTTGTTTTTCTCTCAGTGTACATTGGAGATTATGCTGAGCAGACTGAGAGGAAAATTTCTCTCCATGTAGAAAAAGTCTGCGTAACTTATTGCTTTCATTACATTGGTCTAGTGAATTGTAATAAACCGAAGAATATCATTGAGATTTGGCAATCGCCACACCAAGTTGAATCAAAATGCATTTTTCTATCTCGCTAACTCCTACGTTATCCATGAATAGTAAGTACCGACTTGCATTAAAAATGCACATGACAAGAGAAATAACTTCCTATTGCCAAGAATTCCCCATCCTGACATTTATCATCGTATGCTCGCGGGTAAAGCCCGAAAGTTTTCTGAAATTGTAGAAGCCTCCGAACATTTATTAAAGCAATCATTCTGAAATAACTTCAACATTACATAACAGCCCCGAGAATGCTGTTCGAGAAAACAGGCAGACCAAAAGTAAACAAGACAGCCCTATGATCTTATTAAGCGCGCCATTCCCATTGGTAGACGGAAATGCTGATAGAATCAGTGCTTCTAGGGAAAATTGTCTCCCTACATCCATGTCCGTGGCCAAGAAATAAACTCCCCAGCCTGTAGACACAACGTCAAAGTTTCCTTCAGCTTCCGACCCATGTGGGGGTTTGTCAAATGTTTACCTTCTTCCCGTGGAAAAATTACTAGTTCCTCGGTTTAAGGGCATCCAAATATCTTTTACAGTTTGGTACAGACCAGACTATAGATTGGTTGAATTTTCAGTCATCAAATTCGTCAATTAAATCGCATGAGAAAAATTTGAAAAAAACATCATGAATATTCAGCGTCATTCAAATTACATTTTGCATAGAATTATTATTTTTTAAACATTCGTTGTTTATAAATCAATAATTGAAATTGTCTAAACTTTCGGAAACCTTATTTTTGTAGGAGTGAAATCGATTTCTGGTAAAATTCTGAATATGAATAAATTTCTTACGGTTCCGAACAAATGATTTTTATGGTGGAAATTTGATTGTTTATAAATTATTTACAGAAAATGTAATTCTAAAAAATTGCAATTTTTAAATTATGTTATCAATCTCTTCCCAAAAGTAAACTTTCTAATTTTTTCAGATTTAAAAAATGTTTTTCAACGGTTCAATATCGAGATTCAAATTCAGACCTGCAAAGTTTAAATAATAAAATCATTGTAAAATGTCCGGAACCTCAGGGTCAAATGAAAGCTCTGAAGTTCGACTACAAAAGTAGAAAAGCATTTCACTGGAGAAAAATAGACAAAGTAAGAAGGGGAAAAAACGCTACATAAGTAGGGGAGGATGGGGCAAAACGGCTCCCCTTCAATCGTCAATATTTTCCGATTCAATAATCCGATTGGGATGAGTTAGAGCTCGTTTTGAAGAATGAAAAATTATCTTCAAAATGAAGTTGAAACTGGGAATTTTCACAATGTCATTCACAAGTTATTGACAATTGAAGGGGGGCCGTTTTGCCCCACCCTCCCCTATTGATTTCCACCCATCGTTTTTTATGTGAATTATCAACTTTTTTACTCCTCACGGTATAGCAAGCTTCCTTTTTCAAACGCCGCATGGAAATGTCAAATATAGAACTATTATAATTAGCGAGTGGTTACCAATCCATGTATCCATCATCGAACATGCGTGGGCATATAGCGCAACTGCACAACTATGCACTTGATACAGAGGCCTACATAAATAAAAAATAAAAGAAGTGGCGAGGAAAACTAGATGCAAAAACCAACTCCAAAGGCAGAAGTAGCACGAACTAATCCCCATCTTGCTTTCCATTAAAGTTCCATTTTCCGGTGCATCCCTAGGGTTATAAATTGAGAAAAACACAAGAGACCGAGGGTATTACAGTGAAGCTGCGAAAATCTGGGGGAGTATTTTAAATTCAATGTATCAACGGGCCGTGAAGAGGTGAGGATCAACCAGCGTACACACAAATACCTGCGGAAAGAATGGAAAAAACATTTCCCCGTTCCTCCCAGGGCGCTAGTTCCATTTTTCTTTCATATTTTATCACGTGGCTACACGTTTATATGTCCTGTGGAATTTTATTGCTCACAACGGACACGGACTACGTGAATTCGCGAGGCGAACAGAGAGCAACTGGACGGAGTCGCGATACAAAGTCGCGAATCGATATCGGTCTCTCTCTCTCTGGCATGGGTTGCGCGCACAGTGGAGATGACATTTGGTCGTTTTCAATCGTTAGGTCGGGTGACAAGAAAAATAGAGAAAAATGTTAGTGCCAAGTAGCTCTCGACTTTTTCTCGTATCAAGCATAATGCCGGCATTCGCATACATGTCTGGAGAAAAATGGTAGAAATGCCTCTGCGAAGTTTGCACTCGGAGTTCTGCGGGCTGGCGGGGAAAAAGTTCACGCTTGGGATCATTTATCACTGAGGGAAAAACAGGTGTCACCGTGGGTTGAGCTCAAAGAGCAAAATAATATTGAAAATTGTATAAGCGGTGAGAGAAAGTCTTCGGCCAACTGCGCTGTTGCGGCTTTGGCGATATAAAAACAACGGGGGTGAGGCCTCTGTAAAGCCTCCTCTCATAAATTTTTTATACGTGTTGCGGAGTACGGTTATATGGGCCCTAGTGGGTGGACCTGATGGAAAGGTTATGATGGCTTTCACAGGGAATTTTATGGGGGTCGGCAATTAAAATTTTGTTGCTTCGAATAATCATTGTTTCAACGAGCTTATATAAAACGATGAGCAGTGATCGTCTTCTGTCGCTCTACTTTAATATAGGGTTGCCATAAGCTGTTAACCTCATTCTCATGAAACTTTTTTTTCACGAAAGGGGGCAATATTTTTTATGCAATTTTATCCAGCCGTATTGTCACAATTTTTATTTTATGAACGTGCTTGTGACCCAACAAAGTTACAGTCAAGTGGAAATTTCAATAAAGCCGAATTACCCAGGGCAAGGAAAAAATTTCATCCAACTTTTATCTCAAGATGAGGAACTTTTGAGAGTATTTATGCTTGCAACTAATTTTTGTATTACGAATTTGCAACTCGTACGTTTAGGACGACAGCACCCGGGATATCCCCTTCGACAACTTCCGCGATTGTTCAGGATGAGGAGCTCATTTATGGAATACAATGACAGGAAAATAAAGTATTATTTTTTATGAACGAACAATGGGCACTAATGTATTGCACTAATTATTCGTTTTTAGACGTATATAATTGATCTTCAATGCATGAGAATAGTAGTCTCCCCTTAAATCAATGTGATAGGTACACAGAGTGGACCCGCGATTGAACCTTTCACCTTCCAGCCCTAACTCCCAGAATTAATCGAAATTCACCCAGTGAAACAGCACAAATCCCCTCCCCCCCAAACCGAGTCCCCCAATTCATCCCCAAGATGCTCAATGACAAATGTCAAACTGGTCAAAGTGCTCTTCGGCCATGCATCTTCTGAATCTGCTCGTGGCTAGAAACAAAGTTGGTCCAACCGCAGATCTCAGCGGCGAATTAAACTTGGTACGAAGACGAAGACCCCCCGAGCTAGTTCACCCACTAAATTTAATTATTAACGAAAGCCCTCACTACGGTTGAATATACCCCGCAGCTATGAGACTTGGTCCTGGAACTGAGGAGAGTCTGCAAGCCCGCCTACGAGACTTGTTTTAAAACTACCCCAGGTCTTGCACATGTAGCTTATGTCAACAAAATGTTAAATGGTCAGAGACCACGTAACCGAGGCATAATTCTTCTCCTCAGTTGAATCCCAACAGTGTCGGTGAAGAACAAATATAGGTCGTGTGCCCAAGTAATTCTAATTTACATGGCTTGTAAAGTCTGCACATGAACGCATCCATTTTTTCCCCCCTGGCTTTCAAAGTTTTTTGTCTGGCGCGTCCTCACTTAACGGCTGGCCCTTTGGTGCATCACGCGACGTTGCTGTAATTAACTCCAAGAATAGTTGGATAATAACAATAATAACCAGAGGTTAATTGTGCGAAAGATGAGGGTTTATACCTTGAGCGCCATGATATACAGGGCCATTGTTGAGGGATCAAAAAACCTAGCCTCATTACTCTCCGTTTCCCCCGGCGGAGGATTTAGCATAATGAAAAAATATACTCGTCCTGAAAATACCGAAAATCCTTGGACGGGATATACTGTTTTTCATCCGCTCGTTTTGCTTTTTGCAGGTCGATGATGCGGTCAATGAGCTCGAGGGAATCGATCTTACTGATCCGGATCTTCACAAAGCTGCAACGAAAATACAAGCGAGCTTCCGGGGTCACAAGGTGCGCCAGGAAGTACCCGAGGCTCCCATCAAGAAGTAAAGGGGGTGCGGGACGATGTGAGAAGTAGCTGTGAGCCAAGGGCATAGGACAAGACAGAGTAGTAAAAACGGAATGAAGCGCTGGACTTGATATCACATTTTTTAAAAGTTATTTTTCCTCCCGTCTGTTTCATTTTATGGCCTCACACGAGTGATCGTAGAGACTGTCACAGGGATTGGGGTAAATCTGGTTGAGTTATTGAGTAGCGCTTGGGTGTCTAATCCCGAGAAGAACACGGTTGAATGAATACTGCGATCATTGGAATGGGGCGGATTTTCCTTTTGTCTCCTACGGTTAAATGCCTCTGTCAAGAACACCGAAAGTCGTGAACCACTTCTGCCTCACTGTAATTACGGCTGAGAAATTCTTGTATCTCATGCCAACAATTACAGAGAATAATTCAGTTTAAAATTATGAAGATGAAGAAACTCAATTTTATTCGAATTTTAATGTACTCGAGTCTATATAGCATCTCAAATTATTGAAGCCTACCTTCTCCACCGTTCATTCACAAATTGCCATTAGTGAGGACGGGAAGGTCCGTAGATTTTGAAAATGAATGAAAAACGGTTAAATAGATGATACAAGGATACCTTAATGAAAATCTTTTTAATACACGAATATTTGTAGATGGTACACTGTAAGAACTGAAAGCAATTTTGAATAGGACAAAAGAACATGTGAATTACAGACATGGTTGGAGAGGTGCAACAATGATGTAATTATTCATGCTTTGGAATTTGGGACAAATTGGTTTTGTGAACATGCTGGATGGTTGAGATAGTTCAACTTTTGTGATGAAGAAACACGAGGTCCACGCCTACGGTCTCCCTATCATTTTTGTGCACAAACGTCTGAACGGGGCTTAAAACGTTGGACTCCATCTTTGCCGAGTGATTTAATCTAGACTAAAATCTACCTTTAAATACAAAAAAAAAGACAAAAATGATATACCTATGTATGATAAACAAAAACAAAATGCAAAATAATGGGAACTTGCAGCATTTGATAATCATTTGAAAGTTGTATACTGATTTTTTTGTTTTTAGTACTCTTTGTGTTTTTCACATGTTTCTAATGAAAATCACAGTCGTGAAAACTTTTACCCAAATTGCAGATTTTGATGCTGCATTGAGACTTTTGACTCTCGATCACAATTGTAATTCCAAAATACTTCAGAATCGAACATACTTTTAGATAATAAATCACTATTCATTATGAAGATGAAGAAAAACAACAAGCATGCTCTCAAACCCCATCCGGATGTACGCAGTAGCATAGAAATGTATTAAATCATTATAATTGTCGCAGATATCAAAAGGAATTAATTAATTAATTTGCGCATCTTTTAGGCACATCGATAATTTTGTTATTTCAATGATCAAAAAAACGATATTTTTCAGCGGTAGATCTCCACCATAGATTGTAACCAACCAAAATGCTTGCAAATTCTCGATTCGAGTGGTTACGTAGATCGTGTATGTGCTAGTGATGAAGATAAAAAGGAAAATGAAAAACTTATAAATTGCAATTACCGAAATTCTAGTCTATTTGCTTTGCTAGCGGCGAGTTGGTAGACGGTGTTTTTAGCAGGCCTAAAAACTTTATGTGATTCTGTGTGAGTTATTGCTTTGATTATTTCAGTCACCACGATAGTAAATGACTAAATTATTCCTAGTTGATAACATGAATTCCAAAGTGAAGTACGATTAACATTAATATACTTTAAAATTACAATGAATAATGGAAATATAACATTAAGTTACTAATTCGAATCATCATGCACCACGTTTGTAGATAATAAATGATATATGTTCCGTTTTTATTTCAATGAAACAGAAAAACAACACCATTATCAGATACGTTGAAATGTCAATTGACCTAATACTCGATTCTACTCGGTAGATTCCAGGATATGCTTTTAGGCGACTAATGAAGATTTCAGAAATAGATTAGTGTGATCATAGAAAATGTATCGTTTATCCACTTCCCAGAAATGTTCCGTCAAAAATCGGTGGAACAATGTTCACGAGATCAATATCGATCATTTCAGACATGCAGAAATTGATTAAAAAAAACCCACGAGATACAATTATATAATTTAACACACGTAAATGATAAGTTCAAAGTTCATTACGAATACTTTTGAATAATTCAGTGGAACAAATGGTTTTTCACGGAGTGGAAAATAAATACCAACAAAAACGGATATTTTTGCAGTGTGTGAGAACGAGACAGACATTTTCTAAGATGATGCTACTTTACTCATCGAGAATCGAGTTTACTGTGCACACTGTGCTGAGCTGAAATGGCCGAACTATTATAACATAAGTGAAAGACAAAAAGGGAGAACACAAGAAATTGTAATGTTGAAGAACAGAAACAAATACCATGTATGTAATCTGTTTGATTTAAAATAAATATTCACTAAACGTATGATTGATTATTTTATTACGCCCCCTGCTGAACCTCTGACATGACCGTTCAGTCACTTATTAATTGGAATAATGCTTTGTCGTGTTTAAGATTGCTATAAAGATAAAATTACATATTGTAACTTGAAAATAATAGTTATATATTGAAAGCTCGTAATTTTGTGCGAAAGAAAATCATCGATTTTGATAACTCGAATTATATATTTCAAGGTAACAAATTCGTCATTCTTGATTAAATAATAATATCATCTAAATAGCAAAAATATTACAAGTTTCTGACCCTCATGACCCTTGTGATCCTTAATTTTGGAGTCTTAATTTCGCGTATTTAATTTTTATCATCAGAAGTCGATTTGGATTTTTATAATATCGAGATATTCCACGAGTCAAATTAAAGCTCTGTATACATAGATGGCGTGAGGGACTTCCTGCGATCAATATGGCTCTTTGGTACAGTTCACTGCTCCATTCGTAACTGGATTTATCAATACATATATGTGCACAGTGTTTACATTGTAGGATGTGTGAACTATAGAGATGGATTAGAATGGGATTTATTTGTGTCTCATTGGAGGGTTCAATTGATCAGTAATACTGTCTGGTTCTACGCAGGACATTTGGCTCGTGGGATTAATTGGAATTAATAATTAATTGGGGGGATTAAGATGGTGCAGATGAATTGAATTGTTACCATGGGAAAGCAGTATCATTGCGATTATTGTGACAGATCGTTCAAGGATAATGCGGAAGTGAGGAAGAAGCATTTATCTAGTTTGCAGCATGCCAAGAATCATGCCGAGCATTACCGACAGTTTAAAGGTTAGTTTTATTATAGGGGGGATTGGAAGATTGCTTGAACCGTTGAGGGGAATGTTAGATTGTTGAAGAAATTGAGCTTTCGGTCATACTGTCGATTTAAAAGGAAATTATTGTGAAATTTCAAAGTTCAGGGTGAATGCAAGTGAATTCGCACAGATTCGAGTACAAATAAGGTGAAGGTTCTACAACTTTCTCGTTTTTTCAATTAATTTCAAATTCAAGAAAACATCTGTTTGAATTTTCCAAACTTTCCCTAATTTTCATTGAATGATTAAACTGAAATTCATAGTTCCCATCGATTTTCTCATAAAATTACGATAAAACATTGGAAAATCTCGTCATCTGAATTCAATGACGAGATTTCCTCCAATTTTAGCGAATATTTCATTTTCTTGGACGTCAGCCAATCAGAGCGCAGTATACGAGCCCATGAAGTACAATTTCGATAGTTATCTTTTAGATATACAAAAAAACTGTCCTATGTCTGTGCAAAATGTTATCTTTGGGTAAGACGATCGTTTTGATGACTTTTTGATAACTTTATGGTATCGCTTTGACTATCTTCCAAAAGATGACATCTTGCGCAGACGTAAGACAGTTTTTTTGTATTTTTAAAAGATAACTATCGAAATTGTGCTCTTGGGAGGTTATCTACAATTTTTTCCGGAAGTACTGCACTCCGATCGGCCAACTTCCGGGTAAAAGAAATATTCCAACAAATACCATGCGCGCTCCAAAATTATCGGTTATTTTCCTCAAATGTCGCTGCACAGAAAAAACATGTTAAATTTTTCAGACAAACTTCACACATTCTTTCCTATCCGTCGAAGTTATCGGAAAATAACCGATAATTTTGGAGCACTCGTGGTATTATTACTGAAAATTTCCGCACTCGACTCGGAAAGTACGCAAGACGGTTGTAAAATATAGTGCTGCAAGAATATGTCATATTCCGACATGAAAATTTCATACCAATAGCTATAACTTGATGTTATTCAAGCCTCAGGAAATCGAATAAATTGCAGAGTAGCTCAATCCTTTATCATTCTCAAAGGATAATAGCCTTCTGTTATGATGTTAATGTGAAATAGAACGATAGAAGTCGCACGCGATGATTCTTTTATAATATTTCGACTCGTCCGACAGCCCCTGAAGATATTTTGAGAGAGGAATCAGCGAAAATATCATGCAAGAAAATAACTTCAGAGAATGGATGTCCATTCGGAACTAGCTGCAGGTTCTCACACTACACTGCTCCGATGATGTGGGAACTCCAGAGAATCGGTAATCATTATAACCAAATTATTTTTGTCATTCCGGCCGTAGGGACTAAAAAAACTTTTCTAGCTCATATGATTGCAAGCCTCGCCTTCGGCGAAATCCGCTATTTTAACACTCCGTTGATCGCAATATATTCCTCATATATGAGCTCCACCTCAGAGTTCAACAATATTTTAAATAACATTGTTGTCAAGCCGCACCAAAAATGGGAAAACATTTTGAAGTATACAGAACTCTTAGAAAAGAACATTTTGACAAAAAAAAAATTCTGATGTAATATACCCTTTTTAGATTGAGATACCACGAGCTGTCCCATATTGCAAGACAGTGGGGCGTTGAATTTCTCAAAAAATTCCTCAATGTTAGACTGGAACAAACAGTTAACGATAATATATACTCCGAATTTGATTGTTGAATTGTCTTTAGATTTTTTTATGGATCGTTACACAAATTTGCGACCAATGGAGTGTCAAATATTCTTCCAATTACTCCACATCACCTGAACGACTTCAATAATGATTCCAGTATCGTTGAAGCATCAGAAAGAGCTGGAGAAATTCTCATCAAACATTCCGAATCCAACGGAAATCATCGACGAATTTTTCCAAGATCCCCTGACCTCCACCGTAACCGAGAGCACTGATCAGCCCATCTGGAATATTCCCGCTGAACTGAAAAGCTGGCCGAATCTGCCGCCATCGTTGTGGCCAATCACTCCGGCCATTGTAACGGATTCAAATTTTCCGAAATGGGGCTGACAACCTCTCCCACAAACACCTCCAAGGTATCGAAGCATAACTCAGATAAATGTTTCATATTTTTCAAAATACAGAGAAAGAATAAATGAGCAAAATCGTCAAATAAATCGTTAATGTTTTATATTTTTCGAACTAGAGAAAAAGAATAAATAGTTTTACTCACATGATCAAATGGTCGTTTCTACAGATGCATATGCGTCAAATGACCCGTCATATGACGGCTGTCACGATTCCCCTCCTTCCTTCTAAAAACGTCACAAGTTACCAAGAAAAAATGGCGGTCATTTTCCCTCTGTATAGACGAAACTTTGTTTTCTCATTGCTGCTACGTTCATCTCCTGCCAAAATGTCTTTCCGTTTAAATTTAACCAACAAAAAGTCTTCGTTTTCTTGTGAACGGAAAAAGGAACAGTTCGGCACTCGTTGAACGTAACATAACTGGTAAAAAATATAGTTCAGACACATGTGCGATGGGGATTTTCGAACTCGGGTGATTGGCACCACCTTCTAGTTGCGAAAAACTCGTCACACTAGCATCGAAATACACGTGGGTCCTGATAGAGGGATTCCAGTCGGTTTAATAATAAATATGTAAACACCTGGATACGAGCATGTGCACACAGGGTCACACACTCATACTACCCCTGACGTCACAATCACACGAAGGGGCGAAGGCGCTGTTGGGTCTCACCTCCGCCCCGTACACAAGGACGACTGAACTGACCTGAAGAGGGTTACTACAGAGGGATGCAGTGGCATCCTCCGGGGGACGTAGACGCCAACAGACAAATAATAATAATAATAATAATTTTATTTCCTTTTCGTACAAAAATTTCTTCCTACGTACATTCAACGAACACACTATATTACACCAGTCTTCAGAGTCTTTTCGTGGATTTTGCATTATCAATTGTAACAAATCACAGCAGCATGGGGCTTCTAACTCCACTAGGGCCCCCGTGTTCGTCTTGATAACCTTCCTGCGTCTTCCCAGAAGTCTCTGGCGCCAACAGACAAATATTCATCCGTCATCCTGACATTATTATTATTACTGTATCGAGTCACGGAAATATGTGGACATTTGTTAAACCCCAACCGGTGTTTCTAGAGTGTTTTACAAATGAATGTTTATTGAAGAAATTGGAGCGAATAGAATAATGAATAAAAGATACAAAAGAAGTGATACGTCTGCAGACTAGGAACGAGGATAAAAGAATAACGAGTAAGAAAGAGGCGATCGTACATGAAGATAGTTGAGAGGGAGGAAAAGAACAAATACGAACAAATAAATAATAACAATGCTATTATTTTATCTACGACCGTCATAAATTGGAAAGCAGTTGCGTCACCGTGTTTACAAATTATCTGTGACCATTTGCAGTTCGAAAATTTCTGCGTCACGTGACGGTCATTTTCGGTCATATGACTGGGTCTCAAAAATGACGGTCATTTAGCGTCTAGTAATTTCCCTCCGAAATCGCTCGTGTACGACATCTACCAAGAAAACCATGAAATTCTACATCCTTCCTCGGCTACCTCCGCAGCTGGTCGGTAATTTTCGTGCTCTACCATCTGCCCCTTCTAACCGTCATTCGGGAGATCAGGCGGCGCATACAACAAAACTACTCTATAGTACCACGGAATCCGTTGCCCCGATCGCTTGGCACAAACCAAATTCTTTTCAACGTCATCGGTACTTGTGCAAAACAATAACAATACCACAATAACTCGACAATAAATAGATGAGATAGTTTGAGTGTGATATCATCACAAGAACTATGAAGTTGACCCGCGGAAATGACGCATTTTTGAACGTGTGCCGCGTAAACCGCGTGACGGGTGTTTGAAGGTTGCAAATCGGAGTTTTCTGTTGGACGCCGGTACGAAACGGAGCGAGATTACTCCTGGTCCTCTCTGCACCAGTCCAATCCTACTGGTGAGTTACTTAACTCCTTCTTGCAATTTGACTCTCGTTTATTACTCACTGCATTCAAACGCGAGTTGTGCATTTTTTTTCCGCACGCGGATTCAGTGGTTGGCGTCTGCGAGGTCCAACACTTTGACACGTGATCGATCAATCGTGCGCCACGCTTCGGACGAAAAAATGATCGAAGGCATTCATTTGTTCCCTCGATTCTTATCCAATCCTTCGTTTTATCGCTCGATATGAATTAGCGAGGGTATCGAGAATACGAGGATAACGGATGAATACGAAATTTGATTAAACTCCGGGAATAACCGCGCATTGATAACAGAAAATTGCTCGGGATTATGTATCATTTGATTACGATTCGTGACGCCAAATGAGAGTGGATTACGTGGGTTTATGTATCATATGTAATTTAGTTATGGATTGTGAAAATGAGGACGTAATTGGCACAGTTGGAAAATAAAGTCAATCAATTTCACTTTCAAGTGTATTGGAGTTGTGAAGTTGAGTCAATAAAAAGTTATTTATGCGGAAAGGGAATTTTAGGTCACCGTTTGAATCGACGCGGCGGGGGATGGCTGGGGGAACTGTGTTTGAACTGTAAATGAATCAGTGTACAATCGTCAATAGAAATATCGTATCATCGTTGCCATCATCATTTCGTATTTAATGAACATCGATTGATACACGATAATCCGATTAAAAATTGAATGCCTGATATGGACAATAATCAGACAAATAATCGAGTTGATTAGCGTTTAATCCGTTTATGATGTATTGAAACCATGCGAGAGTAATTTTGCGCAATAATTTGTCTATATTCGAAACAGCTGCGCGTCCCAGCGACAATGCAATTCCGTTCAATGCCGAAGAGATCGCAACCGGTCTGCGAATACCGGCGGGAGGGGGGACGCAGCGAACCCCTATGGATCCTCAATGCTGGGATTCTGCTCTGGTTAGGCCATTTTTCCGCACAACAATCGTCGATCCTTGACCCCCTCCAACAAAAATTGTGAAAGGGCGGATAGAATCCTGGATGAGTCATGAATTTACGATGCCAGAGTGAGCAATGGCTCCGCGATAATTTTGGAATATTTGTTATTTACCGGTTTATTTACCTGACGCTCAACCTCGGCCCATTGACTAAATAAATATTGACTCGAGAATATTTTTTCTCTTCTTCATTTATTCTATGGGAATCGTAATGGCACGTGGTTAACCTGGAGGCATCACAATTTATTGTAAAATATCGTTTAGTTCTGCATCCAATGGTTGAACTTGAACTGTGATTTCCGGGGCGTTACCTCGGCATCGCCAAAGGCACACACGAGCTCGAGCCAGTTCTATAACTGAAGGTTTCACCCTACCCATGCTTTTTTATTTACGATACAATGAAAATGCGAGGGTATCGCAGTCTCATAGATCTGGTTGAATGTTTGAATTTTTTGTGATGATAAGAACATTTCAATGTTTTTTCAACGAGATTCAAGTGGCCTTTGTGGATTCAAGCGTCACATGCATTCCTCAGTCAGCACGTCATTACCGGAATTGAATCGTTATCGAGTGATGAAGAGCTTTCTTTCATAAGAGAGAAAGAGATTAGACTTCGTTATTTGAGAGTGAATGACAGTTTTTGTATTGAAGTGCGTTTTGTGAATGGAACTGATATTGACTTCATTCACTTTATTTTTTAAACAGGGGGACCTGAGTACGAACGATTTGACTCAAAACTTATGCAAAAATTCCTCGGAACACTTTTTTATGAAATTTGGGAAATTTCAGTTGAAATTTCTTCGCAATTGCGAATTTTAATCATTCATCTTGTGAATTGAACGTTATATTCAATGAAAATTTTAATTGATTGATAATTAAAGGAAATAAAAATGTAAATAAAAAAAAATGTCACGATTTTCAATCATTTTCATTGCGGTATGAACGCACAAATTTCTCACTGTTAAAAATTTCAAAATGTTCGACTCAAAATTTCAAAAGTAATTCTCCGCCAGTGAAATATAAACGAGATCCCGAAAACATTCTCACCATGAGCTAGACATTCTAAAAAAATCCAGACAATTTCGCCTCGACATTTCCAGCCGCACAGAGCCACCCTAAAAGACACAGTCGCATGTGCGATCACATGTGTCCAACTTTTAGCCGATAAAAAAAGCCACCCAGTCTACCCTGGCAATTTAACATCATTTATTTTGATTGCCTTTATGCGGGCGCCTTACGTCACGCGATTTCTCTACACAGCGAATGGTAAACGCGTTGCTCACAAGTTGTCGTCTGCTAAGCATCGAGTTTTATGGAGCAAACACTTGTGCTCCAAGTGCCATTGATAAATTTCACGGATAATGTCATCTTTATTGATTTCACTCTATCATTTTTTGCTGTTCCTTCTGCTCTCCGGTTGAACGGCTCTGAGTCATATGAGCCCTAATGGACATTTCATTCGTCTTGACTTCTACGGGCCTCGACAATCCCCGTCGCTGTCTCTCCGAATTATCTGAAATCTGTCGGGAAATATTCCCTTGTCCTCTCTCCTGTCTTTCTTTTTCCCTCTATCGACTTTGAAACCGGTAAGAAGACACGGATTAATGTGAGGGAAAAAAAGCGAAGGCTCAGAGAGGGAGGAGGAAAAAGTGGACAAGGATACTGGATGGGAGGACTTGTTTGTATTTTTCATGAATCTACGTCATCGCACGATATGCTGTGGGTATTTGCGGGTCTCCAACACGAGACATGTGCAAGATGTGTCATTTAGCATGTGAAGACGCCTACAGTGAAATAAAATGGTTTTTTCTCGGTGTAAGTATGTGTGGTACGACGTGTAGGCATACTACGCTCGTATCGCATTAGTTTCGTACATCGTGAAAGTTGTTCTTATTGAGACAAGTGCTGAAGCAGTGTGAAAATCAAAGCATTTGAATGTTATCAGTTTTCGGAGAGGAATCCTTTTATTCAAAGGAAAATTCAATTTTTCTCGCGAAGTCTGCATTCACCGAAGGATTTATTCATTCCAAACAAATTTGTTTAAAAGTCAACATGGAGAGACTGAATGCAAATCTCGGGCCCGTGTTTAATTAATTTTTTTCAGTGTTCTACACAATGTGGTAATAAAATCTCGTTAAGAATGCATGTCTTATTCCTCAATCATTGAATTTATGCCGCCTCCATCGAAAGATTTACAAGATCTGGCGAGCAAAGTTATTTGAGGCAAGAATTTAAATTTATATCATGTGTGGAAATCGCGGGCATTTGTTTATTCATTTACTTGCTTGCTTGTTTATTTATTTATTTAGTATCAAACATTCACCGGCGCAAAGTCAATTGATCGGGAGATGATTTTTTGTGAGGAAAATTCAATCACTGCTGTCAGCGCCGCAAGAAAATTCCTCATTCTCCGTAATGAACTGAACAAAAAACTCGTTAATGCATTTCTTATCTGGCAATAATCTGAAACCATTGAATAACTTCCAGACACTTTTGTTTCCTCTTCATTATTCATTACCAACTCAACGCGAACAAAAAAAAACCCCGATTGCCCAAGAATGCAAGGCCCCAGCCTCGTCATTAACTCGCTCACACAAACACGTACGTGGAATTCAAAAAAAATTATGGAGTAAACGTAAAGACCGGTAGTTGAAAGGTGACTCATTTAAACGTGAAAATTCGAATGGGAAAAAAATCAGTGGAGAAAGAATCATGTGCGTGTACCGTTGATAGTCCAGGAGATTTCGAGCTTCAGACACCTTAAATCGAAGCCCCCGGAGCAGGTATAAAGGCGCAGGGCCCCGGAGATTTCCAGTCCCCGCCTGTGCTCACGATCAGTGAACCCAAAAAAAATGAAAAACAAATTCTTCATTATTCGATCCCTTCGGCCGATACTCCATAACACAAACCACGCCATTTATAACCTGCATTCTCATCTTCATTATCTATCGCGTGTATCAGTGCGAGTGGTTGACTGGTATGAGACTATTAAAATACAAAATAATCGAGAGATGTGGCCAATTACGAGGCGATCAGATGATCGTTAATGCCATGCGTATATCCGATTTTATTTCTCGTGTGATTTTTCGTCTCATTCGCGGGTTTTTTCATTGATTTTTTACCTGCTGAAAAGACGAATCGGCGAGTCAAGGCAGCGGAGGTACACTCTGAAACGTACCTCAAGGTCGTCTCTCTTTTCGTTCTGGTTTATCGTCTGTCGCGCAAATTATTACGCAATTCTCAAGGTGTATTGCCTGTGTATTGGTGATATGTATATTCAGTGGCACTCGTAAAACGTAGGACGATGGTTTACAGCCGAACTGAAGAGACTAGGACACACGGAACGAAGAAGAACAGAACGCGAACAGAAGTTTTCTCCAAAGTTGTGGGTATAGCCATTCGAGAAACGATAAGTCCGTTTATTACTATAAACGTATGGTTCTTTGGGTTGAGTGCAGAGGGGTGGGGGCAACTTGCCTGAGGAATCTTGCCGGTTTTTTACACTTAAGCCTGCTCGCGCGCCCCGCGCGACTCTCGACCACACGCCGGCATGGCTACGGAAATTACAAGGTGCCACACAGCAGAAATCACCCACTGGAGAACGATGCTGCCCTATGGCCAATCTTCGAAAAATCTCACGGAGATGTTCACTGGGATTTCTTTTCGCTCAGTCATTTATTATTTCCAATGACTCATTCCTCTTTTTATTTTCGGGACTTGTCCTGTGTTAATTCCTCTAGGAGTTTCGGAAATTTATTGAATTTATATATAAATCGTCATGTCAAGTTACAGAGTAAAAGTAAGAGGTGCTATAATAAAGGGGGCTAAATTGTTGATGACATAGGGGGGGGGGAAGAGGGTTCATGGGAGATCTGATACGTGATATTATAAAACTCTATATAGTACATAGGGAAATCTTTATATTTATATATCTTTCTATGAATATTTATAACATTATTTTAAGAAGAAGTTGGGAGTTCAAAAGGCTTGTGAAGATGTAAAATAAAGAAAAC